TGTTAATTGAGTAGGTTATTGTTATAACACTCGGAACAAGCAAGACTACTATTTTGTGTAGTTTGGAGCCATCATATTTAGAAAAAATTGGATAAAGAAGCTGGACCACAGAGAAGACTAACATTGTGAGTAGTTTATATACAATTAACCTTTGCATGATGTCTTTGTAGAAACTGATGACCAGGACAATGATCAATGTCACAATACAAGCCACTATTTGTGTAGCCCCTACTACTAGTAGTACATAAGTGATGCTAGTGCTCACAGGATGGGTACAGTTATCACTATTATTATCCATACCTTAAAAACCTGCCTACAAGAGAGAAAGAGGGAGACTTCTTCTCTGTGTTGAAGAGGAGGAGCTAGCATAACATGATGTATGGTACATTCTATAGTCTTGTATGTAGCTTACATAATAACCTTGTAGTACAACTAGCTGAAATACAACACCATTGTTTCATACAAAGCACAGTAGTCTGGAACACCAAGTAGTTATACTGTACAAGGAATGCAGTCTGGTATTACACGTAATGTTCTTCAAGGAGCATTATATGCTACCTATAGCTGTTTCAATTGGGAAACTTGTTACTTAAAAGATCAAGGTTGTCTTCAATCTAGTATCTATGCCTATAATGGCATTTACATGGCATGGCTCACGAGTCACAAAAATACACTTCATGTTCATGTAATTAACATAATATTTTACAAGTGAGTATGAAATTATAATTTGTTACTATTTGTTTTTCTTTCTTTTCGTTTTTGGTTCCAGTGATGATGATGAACTCTTTCTTAGTCTCAATTCTCGTTGTAGTTCTATTCTTCTTTGCTCCAATTGCTCCACATTATGTATCAGTTGGTCTCTTAACTTGATCTCCTCTCTCCGTACTCTTTCTCTCTCTTCTCTTTCTTTCTCTCTTAAGTCCTCTTGACACCTATAATTTGTGTAAAATTTCCACTAAATCAAAAATCAATACTCTATATGTTAGATCAAAATTTACTTTTATCAATAGAATGATGGGTCAATTCACTCAATTTAATTGAACCTTTTTATTAGTTTTTATTATCGCAAAAATAAGCAGCCACAAATATATCCCGACATACGGTATTAAGGTGGCTGAGCAAGCTCCACTCAGACAACAATCTTCATGTACAGTACACATAACATTAACTGTATCTTAATGGATGTTATGATAAGGGGAGGGTTTCCCACAGGATTTTGGCATAGTGCTCATGCAGGTTCTTGTCAGTGGATTTTAAAGTTGCTCAAATACTTGAAAAAATACCATATACTGTACCAAATAGTTTTTTTTTAATTGTTAAGAGAGAATTTTCCATTTTTACATGTTCTTGTACTGTATGAAAATGATTCAATAAAAATTAAATTTTAAAAGTTACTCAAATATTGGATTAAAGCCCCTGTACTACATGTATTATAGTACAGGATCTTAGACCAAATTGGGCCAAAAATGACTAGGAGAGAATTCTCCATTTTAATAATTTTCTCTGATACATATACATGTTCTTATGTTGTGTAGAAAGTTTGAGCTGATTCCGACCAAAATTCAATTTTTTATGAATTTTTAAAGTTACTCAAAAATCGGGCCAAAGTCCCTGTACTATAGTACAGGGTCTTCGGCCAAATTTCACAAAAAATGACTAGGAGAGAATTCTCCATTGTTATAATTTTCTCTGATACATATACATGTTCTAATGTTGTGTAGCAAGTTTGAGATGATTTTGATCAAAAAGTGGATTTTTTATGAATTTTTAAATTGCTCAAAAA